TTTTTGAGACGGAGTTTTACTCTGTTGCCCAGGCTGGAGTGCAGAGGCACCATCTCGGCTCACTGCGACCTCCACCCCCTGAGTTCAAGCCATTCTCCTGACTCAGCCTCCTGAGTACTGGGAATACAGGATTATAGATGCCTGCCACTGCACCCCGTTAATTTTTGTATTTTTAGTAGAGACAGGGTTTCACCACCTTGGCCAGGCTGGTCTTGAACTCCTGACCTTGTGATCTACCCACCTTGGCCTCCCAAAGTGCTGGGATTACAGGCGTGAGCCACCACACCTGGCCAAGGGTGAAGTTTTGAGCTGTGTGCTGATGAAAATGATCCAACAGAAAGCGAGGCCAGGTGCAGTGGCTCATCCCTGTAATCCCAACATTTTGGGAAGCTGAGGCAGAAGATTTTTTTATTTAAGTAGGAGTACACTCTAAAATATGACAAAAAGTGGCCGGGTGTGGTGGCTCATGCCTGTATTCCCAGCACTTTGGGAGGTCGAGCGGGGGGAGGATCACTTGAGGTCAGGAGTTCGAGACCAGCCTGACCAACATGGTGAAACTCCGTCTCTACTAAAAATACAAAAATGGCTGGGTATGGTGGCGGGGGCCTGTAATCCCTTCCCCCCTCAGGAGGCTGAGGCGTAGAAGACAGAACAAGACACTGTCTCTGTCCTTCAAAAGAATATACAGGATAAATGACATTTGGGAATTTGCTTTAAAATGGCCCACCAGGCTGAGCACAGTGGTTCACCTCTGTAATCCCAGGATTTTGGGGGGCCAAGGCAGGAGGATCACTTGAGTCCAGGAGTTCAAGACCAGCCTGGACAACACAGAGAGCCCCTATCTCTACAAAATTGTTTTTTTAATTAGCCGGGGTGGTAGCACACCTCCAGCTACTCAGGAGGCTGAGGTGGAAGGATCACTTAAACCTGGGAGGTCGAGGCCAAGGCTGCAGTGAGCCATATTCTGGCCACTACACTCCAGCCTGTGTTAGAGTAAGACCCTATCTCAAAAAAAAAAAAAGAAAAAGAAAAGTTCCACCAAAAAAAAAAAAAAAAGCCAAGGTATGGGAGGAATGAAACAACACTGGCAAGTGTTCACTGTTAAATTTGGGTGATGGGGGCAGCATAGGGTGGGGTGGTGAAAATATTACTTGTTTATGTCTGAAATGTTACATAAGTTTTATTAATTACATACAAAAACAAATCAAAGACTTGTCGAGTGTAGGGGAGAGAGGCTGTAAGCATATGTGAAATAAATAAACAAACAGTAGGATAAAGAGCAGTCAATCATAGGTGGCCAAGAAATATATCCCAAAGGCAGTGACAAATAAGCAAATTGAGAAGACTGGGAACGAGGATGGGAGTTGGGGGGAGAGCGCTGCACAGAGAGGGATTCCAAGAGGAGAACAGTAAGTACAAAGGCTCTGAGGAAAGAACGCCCACAGGCTGAAGGATTTTTAAAAGCTGCAAACAGGATCAGAATTTTACTTTAGAAAGCTCACTCCAGCTAGGATTAAAGAGGGTAAGACTGAAGTCAAGGAGACCCTTAGAAGATTGTTGCTATAATATACTCCAAGCTAGATACGGAGCACTGTGCTAGGATGGTTCCATTTTGGAACTACTGAACTTGCAGCACCTGTGGCAAAGACAAGTTGGCAGGTAGATGATCAAACAGTGGATCCCCCTTGCTCGCAAGCTCCAGGTCTATTTGCTGACTTTCATTTCTCATCTTAGCTAGACTAGGAATTCTCTGAGAGAAAGGACCATGTCTTATTTGTCTACCTAGACACGAGAAACAGTACCTAAAACATAACAGATACTCAATAAATGTTTGCTGAATGAAACCTTTGGGGAAGGAAAGGAAACCCTCCACATAATCCCATGTATTGAGGATCCAATTCAAAGAACACAAGTAGAAAAAAAATTCAAGGCAGGATGTATCTAAAAATGTAGCACAGGAAATATTAAAGTGGGGCCCTAGTTTCCCACATCACTTAGCTTCTTTACTCGAAATTCTACTAGACTTCAGACATTTAAGAAAAATAAGCAAGACATTAAGTTCATGTAGTTGACTTTGAGGGAGGAGAGGAAGTACTGAAAGAGATGACAGAAATCACACATTTATAGGCAGGATAGGTAATATTTCACAAATACTTATTAAAAAAATTTCTGGGGGCTAGGCATGGTGGCCCATGTCTCTAATCCCAGCACTTTGGGAAGCAAAGGCAAGTGAATCGCCTGAGCTCAGGAGTTTGAGACCAGCCTGGGCAACATGGCAAAACCCCGTCTCTACCAAAAACACAAAAATTAGCTGGGCACTGTGGCGCGTGCCTGTGGTCCCAGCTACTCTGGAGGCTGAGGTGGAAGGATCCCTTGAGCCTGAGAAATGGAGGTTGCAGTGAGCCAAGATCATGCCACTGCACTCCAACCTGGGTGACAGAGTAAGACCTTGTCTCAAAAAAAAAAAAAGAAAAAAGAAAAAAATTCTGGGACTATTGTGAGATAAAGAAAACAGAAAAAAACAAAAAAACAAAAAAAACCCCGCTGTAATATAACTGATGAAAACCACATAAATTAGAAGAGGGGAATTTAGAGAGAAGAGAAAATACATAATCAGCTCCAGCCTCTGATACTGGGCTGAGATAGCAGAGATATAGTCTTCTCACCCTCAACTATGCAGAGTAATGTTAAAGACAAACAGATAGGGTTATCTGTGATAAATCCGGGGCTAAGGTTATTGAACCACCCAGCAGGCTGTGACAACCGTCTTCCTGGAAGCTAGCACAGAGCTGGGAAGGTCCCAGGAAAGAAGGGTGGACACAGAAGATCTCCTGTATATGGGTCTTGAAAGACAGGTAGAATTTGGGGGAGGTTTAGTGGGAGAGGGAGGAGGACAGGAGATTGTTAAAGCAGCAGCTATTATGGGCTAGAAATATGCCTTCTTAGAATCAGTGCTTTCACCTGGACAAGATGGCGGGTTCGAGCTAGACTGGGGGCAATGAGAAAGAGATGGAAAAGAGTGGACAGATCTGAAAACTACTCAAAGGATTAAAATCAACAGGACTTGATAGATTGCATATGGAGGTGTATGAAGAAGAGTTTATCATTTCTTGAGTGTCTAGCTTGCAGAACTGAATGGATATTAGATTCCATTCTTATAGAAGTCCAAAGGCTCCTAATCCGGCCTAAAACGCTCTGCCTGACCCGACCACTGCCTACCGACCTCACCAGTCTCATCTGTACCGACTCTCTTCCCCTCCACATCTGAGCCCCAGGAACGATGTCCTTCTTTCCAGTTCCTTCCTACCACAGGGCCTTCCCACATGAGCTCTCCTCTGACTGAACAGCCCCTCCCATCTTTTTTTCCCTACCCAACCCCTATTCATCCTTAGGGTCTCAGCTTAAACACCGGTTCCTTTCGAAAATCTCTGTCAGTCTTCAGATAAGGTTAGAGATCCCTGATATTCAATTCTCATCTTGTTTCGCAGCATTTTGTATATCGCCACCACGTCTGTAACCGGAGCGCCTAGTACAGTATCTGACCCTCAGTAAGAGCTCGGAAAATGTTTATTGTTGAATGCGTCATTAAGTCCGTCAAAACAATCCCCGAAACAGATACTGCCAGAGGAAAAAGAGGTTTTTAGATTATACAACTAGTGAGTGACTGGGCCTGAAACCTAATCGATTCCTGTATGCCGACCAATAGACTAACAACAGAAAAATAAGGCCCATTTTTCCCCTGGAGAAACTCAGGGCCGACGAAGGAGAAATACGTGCGTCCCGTCCGGAATGATACCTGGATCCCCTTTCTGCCCGCAGCTCTCCTTCCCTCAACCTTCCTATCGCACTTGCACTGCACCGCAATCCTGGTGCACAGGTGCCGCGCCAACCTCCCCACAGGGCCGCGGGCACGCGGGCCACGGACTCACCTGGGCCCCGCCCACCGACCCATGCAGCCGCAATAGGCACATGAGCCCGGGCAAATGTGGGGCCGAGCGGTTTGGGGGATGCACCGGAGCAACGGCAGACCCCGTTCGAGGTTGCAGCAAACCAGAAACACTCTCCAGCAGCAGCAGGCGGAGCCGCGGGCCCGAGTTCACTGCCGAGAGACCCCCGGTCCCGCCAGGAACCCCAGCCGCGGAGCCCGCAGAGGGCCCACTCAGAACGGCTGCCGCCATCTTCCCCCGGGCTCCAGTGGTGGCGTGGCGCGATGACGCAAACACACCGCGACGGCCGCCTACTGGGGAGTGGGCGTGGGGAGGGGGCTG